TCCTTGCTTTTCTCTTGATTTAATTAACAGGAAGAAAAATATGCACAAACCGATAAAGACAATGAAGATTCTGACACGTCTTAGAGAAGGGAGCCATTTCTAAGTTTATGACCCTATTTGTTTAACATTTATCTTGCATGGCACCATTAGATTACTTTCACTGTGAATTGGAGCCACGTAAATAAATTGAATTGAATATTTTGTAATTGCTTTTGCTTTCAGACTGGAGTGGTCATTGTGGAAGGGGCCGTTATGAAGAGAAGTGCAAAGTTAGCAAAAAATATTTGGCATGAGTCATCTGAGACTTGGCCGCATGAGAAACTGAATAAGGCTGTTAACCGTTATCTCATCCACGAGGAGAAAGCGGTTTTCTGTTTCAGAAGCCACTCCAATCTCAAGATTTTCCACTTGAGAAAAAACACTTTACAAGTGCAACACATAAAGGTTTCTGTTCAAAGTCAGAGTGTCCCAGAATAAACCATCAATTGAATCATTTCACTTTTATGGTTCTATCCAAAAACGGTCAGATTTTGTGACTGCTAAATCTGCACAGTGACCTCCACAGAAGGGGGTCAAATATTGACACGTACATGTGTATCTGGCTGAGTATTTAAGTAAACGTGCATGTTTCTAATTGGAAACAGAACTAGCATGCACGGTATGCCAACGTGTGCAAATGTGTCCAATTTCCCAAAGTTTTCCAGATACCAGAGCCAGACCTCAAAACTATCATCACTGTTCTCAACCCCATCTGCCAAAGTCATCATCCTCGCACAGACACCTTCCCTAGTCATCGTGGCACACACACACACACACACACACACACACACACACATACACACGCACGCATGCACACACACACACACACGCATGCACACACACACACACGCACGCACGCACGCACACATACACACACACACACACGCACACACGCACACACACACACACACACACACACACACACGCACGCACGCACGCACGCACACACACACACACACACACACACACACACACAGACAAAAGAGGTGTGAAACGGTTATCTCTCACCATTTTAACGGGGTTGGGAACCTGACAGTAAACCTTCTAATGTTTTTAACTTCTGTTCTTCAGCTAAACTGAGCGACTCACTCACTGACAGACACAAACATTTGTTGGTCTGCTGAGGTGTTGGTATCTAGAAGCAAAGTAGAAGGAGGTGAGCAAAAGCTTGTGATAATTACTCCACATTCTTTACACTTTCCCCCTGAAATAACCTAGATTTGTAGGGAACCCCTTTTTCCATGTAAAGCCAATGGAACTACTGCAATGAAAATGTTCAGGAAAGTTAAATAAATAAATAAATAAATAAATAAATAAATAATAACCAGACTAAAAACTTGGGGGAAAATGGGACATGAAGCAGTAAAATAATTACTGCTGAGGCAAAACATAAAACAGGAAAGCTGAAAATGAAATATTAAATGGTCGAATGTGACTGATTGGCCGTTGAATTACTGTGGACATTTAAAGGACACAATTTGGGAACACATCAGAAAAGATGAGACATAGTTAGATATACTGAGATGTCTGTTATTTTTCTGATACTGGCCTAAAGTTTTCCCCTTAAAGACCAAATTCACTAGTTTTTTCAATACAATTTCTGTGGTCTCTAGCTAAATTAATGCCTTGTGAAAAGAAAGCTCTGGCGCTCCTGTTTCAGGAAGTAGAAGTTAGTCGCAGTAGATGGGAGCAGAAAACTGCAGGATTTTGAGTCTTTTTTCCTGATATTCAGACATCTTGCTTCTGATTGGCTAACAGCAACTCGACTCTACCACTGACTTTACAAAGTTGACGATTAATCTTCACAAATAACACAAGCCCTGCCATGTGGTGGAGCTGCTAATGCTAAATGTTAGCTTCTACTAGCTAAGACACGCTCTGCTCTCTCCTGAATGCTAAACCAACAACAGCCTACCCGATCAATTTTTAACTGACGTAAAGCTGGCCGGGACTTCTAAGTGCATGGCCGCGGACTGTTTCGCTGCCGTGCGTTGTACATCGAGAGCGTGTGTTTGTGTGTGTGAATCTCGTAGGTGACAAGAATCTCGTAGGTAGCACTGTGCTACACAAATAAAGGCCATTTACCATATTTTAAAACAATTTCTCCTTGAACTTGCTCTTTATAAGCTCCTCATTGTAAAATATTTTCTGAACACAAAACTGCATTTCATACAACGACAGGGATTAAGTTCAGGTCAACCATGGTTCTGGAGCATCACTGAAGTTCCTTGGTATTGAAAAAAATAGCACCTTCCTCTAGAAGTGGAAACATTGTGAACTTATTGCTTGTAAAGAAGCCTACTAGATCCACACACTTACTTTTGTGGAACCTAATATGTTTTTGTAAGTTTCTCTCGCTTGTTTATAGTGATGATTATGTGAGAATTTCATGTTTCCATCTGATAAAACCTATTGGTGCCCAAGAGGCTTTTGGGTTTACGGTGTACACCTATTTTATGTTCATTATAGATGGCTGCCTCAATTTTGTGTTCAGCCAGACTTCGATGAAGACACCATTGGTGTTGAATATAAGTTTTCGTTGCTATTTAAAAGTCGAAAATGTCTCAATGTGCTCATTTCTTGGCCCAACATTTGCAAAATGTCATGTTTTCATGAGAAGTGGCACACCAGTCACTTTGCTTGGAATGAGTGTCTTAGGTTCCCTTCACGTAGGATTACGAACTGCTACACTTTCCATGACCAATTACAATGTGACTGTATTGCTCAAAGTTGGACAACCTTTAGTGTGAAAGCAATCAGGACAGTGATACGCTCTGAGAGCTTACCTAACAGGTTTTCTCCCTTCTATTTACCTCATCGAGACTCTCCTGCATCCTCACTGTGCTCAAAACTTCAGCAACAGAATCCCTAAACTATCATACGATACACGCTAATAATCATACCATTCCCCTGGCTCCATTTTGGCACAACTCTTATGGATGCAGATAAAAGATCATGTAATGTTAGAACTATGCTGATAGCATGATGGATTTGTAGTCTAGGCATGAGGCCATCATATTCAGTCTTGCTTCAAATACTTCAAATACAGGCTGGTGCATCATGACATGTGCATCAAGAATAGTATGTTGCCCACCAACAACAACACGTTCTACTTAAGATGCTGCTACTACAATGAATCACCAACACAAATTTGGTCCTCGTGCTCCAAACTATTGTCATGTTCCACCATACGACTGAAACCCTTGCCAACAACCTGCAAGCACCATTCATCTTCCGTCTAGTTCTTTTGCTTTGCAGCAAATAAATGGTCTGGGGTAAAAAGGACCAGCAAAAATAGTCAGTAAGTTTACATGAAATAAGAGAAGCTGTATTGTTTTCTCAGTCTTACTAAATTTTGACTTTTCAAATACATGCATACACCTTATTTTGGGCGGAGTAGAACCGAACCGGCCAACTCCTAACAGAGTTAAGGCACCCTGATAAAAAGTCAACACCCCACGTTAGCCGAGCCATGATCGGCTTGGGCACACCCTCTTCCAGAAACGCCAAGACTGTGGAATTGAGAATAGATAAGTCAAGTGCAACAAAAACCAATAATTGGTAATTATTTAAAGGGACTATAAGGAAGTTTGACAGCCAAAACATGTATAGAAATAATAAATGTCTTCTTCATACATTCTCCTGCAATGCCCTGGTCCTGTAGACTGAGCCCTGGCATTTTTACTGTGTTTGCCTGCTTTTCTGTAAAATCACAGAAAAAGAGAGTCTCGGGTCGAGCAGGCTGCTTCATGCGCGTTCACGCTCAGGCATAGCCCGTATTTGCTATCCGTAGCTTTAGCAGCAGAGAGAGAGGTAATGCCAACTCAGCGACTTTGTCACTGTTCCTAACGCCTAGTGATGAACCTAGCTACATTTCTGAGGACCCTTAGCTACTTTCTTCTAGATATTTCCTGCAAATTAGCAACAAAATAGCCATTTTCGCTCTGAACCGTTCTTTGGATTGACGTTGTTTCAGCTGTCATCAAGGATATAAATGTTACAGATACAGAGAGCATTATTGGTGCTTTAGCTCACCTTGTAAGATGTCTGACTCAATTGCAGAAGACCTGGATTTGATTCTTGGTCTGATCATTTTTGAGTTTCTTTTTTACATTAATGGTATATTTTTTTACAGTAAGATGCCCAATTTTTTATTTGAGACTCGCCAAAAGGCATTGAATTCGCGGATAAAAAAGATGTGGGTTCAACTTTCATTTTGGAACAATTTTTCAAGCAAGAGAAGGGAATGATCTGAGCATGCAGGAGGACTGACCCATCATAAACCTCTGTCGGCTGTGCTGAAGAGAAAGGTACAGAACCAAATTATTTAATTAATTAGCTGTGTGTTCTCCTGTCCTCTGGGCCACACACACGGGACTGTCTCAGCTGTTATTTTCGTTTAGGAGTGTGCACATACAGCATGCGCGCCTCATGCACGAGCCTACTATTGAAGCTGCCGTTACGCTTTTGGCCTGAGGGGGCAATCGCGAGCATAAAAATTCAAAAGTCCGAAAAGTCCCTTTAATGCAAATAAAAATTTTCAAATATTTTAAGACTTCGTGCACATCCTATTATTACATCTGCTTTACTCGGACCAGTGTTTGTTTACCATTTTGTGTGATGTTACAGGCAAATCAGAAGACTACCAACAGGAAAAGATGTGTGAGACAAACGCACTTCAATCAATTTCCATGTTCTAACTGACATGTAAATGTGGATAAAGGCTCCCATTCTGGTCAAGGTATCAGCCTAATTGTTGCCATAGCTTGAGGGACAGAGGAGCGTGTAGAATTAGGTATTATTTTCAACCCTGTCTGGCTGTATTTTCTCCAGCGTACAAGTAAGGTGCATTCTTGTCTGAGATGAGGCCTCCAGAGACAGCCAGGAGAAAAAAAGAGGCAGAAGATAATAGATGTAGAGGAAGAAAAGGGGACAGACAAAAACATAGGAGAGAGTAATACCTCGGTAAGGATGCATACTGACGCTCCACCTCTTCGTACTGTGGTGTTACACGATGGTTCGTCCCTCTAACTGGCAACTGTTGAAGCAAAAACAAATTGTTAACTTTTTGAGAATTTAAATCACTACATTCTGATACATTTAAAATATGAAAGGTTAAATTAGAAATTACATTTTCCTGCCAAAGGTAGGAACTTCAGAACTATGAGCCTAAGCAATACACACCCATCAACCAGGGATTGTGTGTGTGTGTGTGTCTGTGTGTGTGTGTGTGTGTGATGTAGAGGTAATTTAAGATCAACAAAGGCTAGTTATTTGGGGTTTAGGCCTTTTGAGGTTTGTTGGGGCTAGAAAAGAGTCTCCAACGAAGATTAGGTTACTTCAAAACATCATGGTTCACTTTTACACACACACACGCACGCACGCACATACACACACACACACACACACACACACACACACACACACAAACACGCACGCACGCACACACACGCACGCACGCACACACACACACACACACACACACACACGCTTAAAAAAGCTGCATCTCATCTCCATACTGAGAAAAACAGCAGATTAAACCAAGCTGCTCACAGTTCAATCTTTCCAATTTCTTCTCATTGGTTCTCTCTTTAACCCTCACCATCTTACGTTCTCCTTCCTCACTCATCCCTTTTCTCTCGTTTCCCATTTTTGCACAAACACACACATGTGTACACAAACACAACCTCTCTCAGAGAACATCATGGCCTATCCGGTTGGAACATTCCAGCTGCTGCGGTGCGTCTCAATGAGTCCGACTAAACCCAGACATCAGCGCATACACAAGGAGGACATGTTTAGAAAAAGATGTAACTATAATGTGTAATAATGTAAAAATAAAAGCTGAACTATAGCTGTTAGCTGGGTTTAATCATTAACCATTTTACTAATATTTCACATGTTAAAGAAGAACTACGACGGTACATTCCAACAAAGTAAAAGAAAATATGAGCAGTCTATTGTTGTGCTGGTGGAGGTTTTAACAAGAACTAGGTGCTTTTTCTTTCCACAAGCTACTGAGCGTTAGACATAAAAGAGAACAGTTTTTGCTCTCCTTTTCTTCTTTTATTTGCATTCCAGGAAATGAAGCCAGAAGACATATGAAACAGATTTGCTGGGCCTACTTTCTTTTGAACACCTGTCTTTATAGCTTCAATATCTCAGGTAGAGAAACAGCAGGATATTAAGAGCAAATAAAGAGGTGGAGCAAAGGAATGAAAAGGCATTAGACGGCAAAAGAAAGGAGGAAAGAGAGATGGAGCGAATGTGAAGTAAATGACTTTGAGAGAGGGGGGATGGGGGGGTATAGTGAAGTTGTTGAGAAGTGGGAAAGCAAAAGAAAGGAGATGAGAGGTGACTTATAAAACAAGAGAGTGAATGAGGTGAAGACAAGGGCGGTGGAGTCGGAGGCAAAAAGGATATTAACGACGCGGTTTAAATAAGATGTTAAGGGAGGGAACTAGATGGTGAGAGGATGAATGACTTGCATGATGAGGTGGAAGCTGTGAGCTGAGAGAAATGAGTCAGGATGTGAAGGAAAAGTGAGGTTCTAGAGTTTAGTTCATCAACATGGTCCAAAGGGATCCATATTTGAAGCCCCTTTCTGCCGTCTAAAACATATATTAAGATATTTTTCTAAAAACATTTACACAAAGGTCTTATTTGTCTTAGGTTTCATCAAAAATATTAAGGAATTCCTGTTGGACTTGACTCCTGGATGCACTGGAGATGCTACCATCTGCTGCTACTGATGGTATTTTCACTTGTAAACAACCGTCAGCTGTTTCATCTAAATAAACGAACTGACAGCAATGAAAAACTAGAAAATAAGTTCACGTGAACAGCCATCACAATTAGGAGATTCAAGCTGTTTTAAGAAACCAGCAATACACTCAGGCCCTGTCCACACGTAGCCGGGGATCTGCCAAAACGTAGATATTTTTCTACGTTTTGGCCTGTCATCCACACGAAAACTGTGTTTTTTCACACGAAAACGGATCTTTTTAAAAACTCCGGCCAAAGTGAAGATCTGTGTTTTCTCCGTTTTGGGTGTCTGCGTGTGGACAGACAAAACCGGAGTTTTAAGGTCCGCAACGTCACTTTCCGCGACAAAAAAATGCTGACATCACGTGTGCGACCTGTGTTTACACTAGCCGACAGCATGGATGCCCTCAGAGCTGCGCTCGCTTTATCAGTTGTCCAAGCGCTTTTTGCTTGTTTGTTTTTGCAAGCGGAATTACTGCTCCTTGCGGAAGACCACAGACGAAGGACGAGGTTAAGAACGGGGGAAGTACTGCCGCCTACAGGTCTGGCATGTCCTTAACAACGTATTTATCCGGGTACGTGTGGACAGAGTTTTTTTTTAAAACGAGGTGGTGTGGATACAAGTTTTTGGAGGGGCGGATCTTCGTTTTTAAAAAAACCTGGCTAAGTGTGGACTAGGCCTTAGACTAGCTGTTTGCTCTTCAGTCCTGCAGGACATAAAAATATATTTCTCAGAACTAAGGAGGCCATTTTTTAATTAAAAAGGGTCATTATTAAGCATTAAAAAATACTTTAAAGGATGAAATTATTGGATTTTGCTCACCTGCTATCAGAAATTCTCAAGTTACAAATCTTAGGTAAAGAAACCAGTTTTATTTATTTAGTTAGTTTTTATTTGTCAGATAACCTCCCAAGCAAGGAGCATCTGGAAAATACAGGAATGTTAGATACTTTGAGAAATAGTAACCCATTTGTTAATTGTGCTTTCTAAATAAGTGCTGTGTTTTTTATTTAAAGAACAGGTGTACTGAGAAACCATTTTCCCTTATTAGTTTTTAAAATATTCAGTCAATCGGAGTTTAACATGCAGGCTGAACGTGAAAACAGTCTTCTAACCCTATTTCATGCATTAGCTTCTGACAGAAAATAGGCAGAAGGTGCTCGGTTCAGAAAAGCCTGACAGAACTACGCCACACTGTAACTTAACATTCATGGACTCACCCATCTTGGCTCACGACGAGGAAGGATATGGCGTCAGATGGGTGCCAAAACATCGCGCGTGCGAACGGGACTCGCGCGTGGAAGTTAGAACCTCTCGAGTGAAAATATACATGGCGAGAGGTCATTTGTACACTGAGAGGGAGCAAACTGTGTCTGTGAGCGCACAAGGATGTGCACAAGTGACAAACTTGTGTGCGCGCGTTGGCCAACGAGCACATGGCAGAGGAAAACATGCGCGCGGCAGCCTTTCTGCGCTCGATTTCTGATTCTGCTTGCTCGGCTGTTGGGAGTTTTTGCACTCTGGAGGCGTGGCCTGTGGCTGATCTTTTCTGTCTTATAATTGGTAAGTTTTTTCCGCTCATAACCCTCCACCTCATTGGCCCATTGACTTCCTCTCGGAGCACAATGGCGGTAGCGGAACAACAAATTTGATTCAATCTTCAGTAAGAACTGTCATAGCTCAGCTGGTAGAGCCGATGACTTTTAATCGGAGGATCTTCGTTCGAATCCAGGCAAGAACAACAGTTAACATATATGTTTTTTTTTATTCCAGTGATATCTTTAACAGTTATGGCCGTTCAACTGTCATTAAATATCCGAATGTTTGCTGGGCAGTGTTTTAAAAAGTGTACATAAGGTAGATGGCTTTATCCTCATAAAATTATCATTTTTTTGATACTGGAAAAATACATACATGCATACATAGTAATTCATTTCAATATGTCTGAAATAGTTTTTCTTAAGGTTATAATTGTGTTGATTTAGCTGATTCCATTTTCTATCTCTGTGAACTGCTGTAGGATGTTATTGACAGTTGTGTTGACCTCATTTGTTTTTATTATTTAGCTGATTTTTGTATTGAACTTTGTATGGAATGATTCTTTGGACAAGTTAACAGGATTGAGATTACAATCCGCAGGAGACAAATGATTGCAGTACCTCATGCTGTGTTTGCCTTATCGTGTTGATTCTGAACTTTTATATCTGATCGTAGTGTTTATTACTTTACTTATTATTTTTATTGTTTTGATGTTTGTCATTTTTTGTCTTGATTCGTGACTGATGTAGCTTTCATAGTTAATGGGGAGAAATTATGGAAGTGGATAAAATTCCTTATTATTTTACTTCTTTTTGTTTTCCTTATTTGTTTTTGTTTTGTTGCTTCCCTTTGTTTGGTTATCCTATTTGGATAAACAGGAGGGAATGTTATGGAAAAATTTATGTTTATTAATTCTTGATCATTGACTCAATCAACTGAATGTAAATGTATTGCTCTATGCCTCTTTGATCATGCTCACTCATTCAGACACACACACACACACTCACTCACTCACTCACTCACTCACTCACTCACTCACACACACACACACACACACACACACACACACACACACACACACACACACACACACACACACACACTCACTCACTCACTCACTCACTCACTCACTCACTCACTCACTCACTCACTCACTCACACACACACACTCACTCACTCACTCACTCACTCACTCACACACACACACACACACACACACACACAATCTCTCTCTCTCTCCCCCTCTCTATAAATAAACTCTGTGACCGGATGTTCGGTGCATTTTGCCTCGTGCATCATGCCACAGTTATAACTGTTTGACTTGTCAGCTCATTGTCTCCTTCTCTCTTCACTATAGGAAATGGGTTATTGATAAACATATTGATAAAATCCATGACAAGTACAATCTCTTTAATGCACACAGCCAAAAACACATCATATTCTCCCTCTCTCTCTTTCCACACACACATACACACCAACACATTTCCTTTCACTCACAGAGGGCCAGGGCAGCACAGTAGTGCACTGGTAGGGGTAATGGTCTAGTGAAAAACCATTTCACGGGATAGTGAGCAGAAGAGAGGCAGGGAGGAGAGCACGGAAATCAAACAGAAGAGACTGATACTGTGGGGAGAAGGGCACACACACACACACACACACACACACACACACACACACACACACACACACACACACAGGGGCTCATCTCTCCTTTTAACAGACCCTTCAATTTA